CAGCCGCGCTGCAAGGACCCCTGAGGCTGTGCCTCCAAACTGGCCGAAGAAGGGGGTTCGCTGGCGTACCCCCAAATCGAACCAGCTCGGTTTCTCTCTCCGAGAAGCCCCAGCCCTTCGCCCTGACTCAGCACCCAGGAACGTTGGAAACCCTGGAGTCTCCCGCAAGAGCAGAAATCCCATTTTTCGAGCCAGCACCGAGGAGTCAGGCAGGAGCGTTTTGGGCGACGTACGTCGATTTGGGTTTATACGGAGCGGAGGTTGAAAGGAAAAGCTGCTCAGCAGCTGGGTTTGCCGTACCTGTTTTTCACGAGCCAGTAGTCCTCCCCATCCGAAGAGCCGTAGCCGATGACGAGCGCGGCGTGATTCACCACCTGGGAGCAGCTCGGGTCACGGTAGATACCTGGAAGGCATTTGGGAACAGCCTCTGGACAACCTCCCCTAAGTCACTGCCCAAACGGGAATTAAACTCACTCTTTGGAAGGTGTCCCCAACGCCTGTTGCCAAGAATGAGGGCAACACAGGGTAAATGCAAGTCAAAGCCGGAATAATTTATATTTAAGGAGGTTGGGTCACGGGAAGGAAAGCGCCGCCCTTTCTCGTGATTCCCTGGAAGACCCACCAGCCTTGTACAAGAAGAAGGTGGGCTGACTGGCATCGATGCTGATGGACATGGGCCCCACGTTGGCGACGGCATCCCTCAGTGCGGCTTCATCGCCGTGCGGCAGCAAAACGTACCTGGAACACGTGGCCGCTCGCGTGGCCGGGTTGTAGCGGCACACGCCGTCCTGGAAAACGAAGGTAAGGGGAAAACGCGTCAGATCCTGCTCTGATCTGCGTTACGTGAGTTAGAACCGATGCTCGCGGCATTAAAGACAAACAACTCCATGGTTTTCCAAGGCGGATTTCCTCTGGAAGCAACAAGACTATCAATTCCTCCGTTTTAAGCTGAGCCAACCTAAGCGCTGCCCAGGTCCGATGCCTACCTGCGCCGTGTAGGGGTAGGAGGCATCCGAGTCAATCCCTTGGTTGTCGATGATGTACTGGAAAGCTTTGGTTTTCCATCCGCCACCGCAGCCTTCGTTCCCGTAGCTCCTGGTGAGTCAACGAGGTTCTGGGCGCTCAGGGACACCAGCTTCCCCGTCTTCAGCTTCACCTGGCCTTCGAGGGCTCCCACGGCGCTGAACGCCCAGCACGACCCACAAGCGCCCTGCGAGAGCCCCAGAGATGCTCAGACGTTGCCCCACGGGGCCAAGACGTGGCGAGGCGCAGGGAGAGCTTCTCACCTGGTTCTTCACCTCCGTGACACATCCTTTCTCCCTCCAATCCACCGTGTCCGGGACTTTGCTGCCAGGCCGCGGTCGGTACGTGGAGGTCCGGTTTGGCCAAGGAGCAACGTTCAGCCCGGTTAACAGAGCCGCCACTTCTTGGCTGGGCTGGTGGAGCACAGAGGCGTTCGTAACGTGTTGAGGTTTACTTTGCACGACAGGAGAACGGATCCGTCCCACCCCACCAAAAGGACCAGGTTTGTCCTTGCAGCCTCCAGGGACTGATGCGTGTGGTTGTGGCATCACCAACACGGCGCGTTCCACCCCCCTCGACCAAACCGATGG